TTTTCAGAGAACTATCCACAATGACTCCAAGATCTTTCTTGAGTGGTAATAGCTAATTTAGACTCCATTTTATATGTATAGCTGGGATTATGCTTTTCAATGCGCATTACTTTGCATTTATGAACATTAAATTTCATCTGCCATTTTGTTGCCCAGTCACCCAGTTTTGAGAGATCCTTTTGTAGCTCTTCGCAGTCTGCCTGGGTCTTAACTATCTTTAGTAATTTTGTATCATCTGCAAATTTTGCCACCTCACTGTTGACCCCTTTTTCCAGATCATTTATGAATATGAATAAAACTGGTCCCAGAACAGACCCCTGGGAGACACCACTATTTACCTCTCTCCACTCTGAAAACTAACCATTTATACCTACTCTGTTTCCTATCCTTTAAACAGTTACCAATCCATGAGACCACCTTCCTCTTATCCCATGAGTTACTTTTGGGAACAGAAGAAAAATTACAGAATAAATCACACTAAATGCCACACTAATCAAATACTAATACTGCTTCTGTTTGGATACATGATAAGAAATGGAAGCAAACAAGGGCATAAGTGTTTTGCCAGCACACATAGGACACTTTTCAGACAAGGTATGGGACTGTAGTCCTCCCAGCTTCCAGAGAAAAAGAATGTTACACCTCACAAAAACAGTTGGCAACAACAGAAAAAGAGTGTTTGGGAACAACCAGTAAGAAAATTATAGACCTCAACAAAAGGTGGGTCAAGATTAGTAACAAGTGGACCTCAAAAAGTTTGATTTGGATACCTATCAATTTATCTAAACCACTATAGACTGTATATTCCACACAATCAACTACTGACTTCCAATTGGGACAACCTAGTAGCTAATAGTGTCTTGTAAGTTTTGCTACTTCCACTTCTAGGCTCAATAAAAAACAGGAATTGAGAATTAAAGGGGAAAAAACCCACCCTCACATTTTCAAACACTCAAACTGTTAGCTTAGTATTTTGTGCAAATCAGTTCATACATTTCCTATTGTAGCAGGAATTTGCATTAATCTAAGGCTCAATTTCTTTGCTTTGGAGATGCAGTAGTTATTTGGCATTTATTCTTATTTGGGGTTAGCTGAGCAACAGAAAACTCACGAAAGATAACACTGACAGTTTCTTCAATTTCTACCCATTGCTTTTTCCTCTCACAAACAAGAACAATTACAGAGAGTAGCATATTGCTTTTTATTCAGAAAGAGAGAGGAAAAGACGTGGGGAGTTTTAGAATACTATAGAACTTAGTTGTTAGACTCTTCTTTGAATATGTGAGGTACAAGTATTTCAGTTGGACTACAACTGAAATAGATATAAAGGACCACGTCTTGGGAGTTCTGTCACTGAGTTCTGTAGGAATAACATATAGCACAAAGTCATCAGAATACGACTAGAATAGAATTTAGTTTTATTTTGAAACTGTCATGATCAGCCTGCAAGTTATGAAATAGAGATTTATTTCTGGAGATAAAATATCCTTTAGAAAGTTTAAAGTTTTCTATCTCACAAACCATCACCTTCCTCTACCATCAAATTTTCCCATAGGGTAGTAGAGGATTTTTTGTTTGTTTTTCTTGTTTAAATATATTTATTTCCACATCTAGGGCTAGAATCTGGAAGTGAAGATCATGGGACAAAGCCTTGCTTTGGAATAAACGAAGTGCATACAATTCCAATATATTTATTAAAAGTAAGATATTTATTTATATGGATTTTTCCAAACTGTATTGGCATAAAGTGATGCAGAGTCAATTTCACAGATTTGTTTAAGGGTTTCCTGCTCTAATTTTATGAGCTATGCTGCAAATGATCTTATTCCTTAAAATGGCTTAAGATAAAAAAGGCTGGATAGGTAAATAAAATGCATAAATGGCTATTCTGCCAAAAATAACATTTATTTAGGTCAGCAGTATTCTAATAACAATAGTTAAAATAATTAAATCATAGCTGCCAGCTTATGTCACCCGCAAGCAAATGAGAACCATGATGATGTTGCTACCTGGCTGCTGAAGTAAAGGAAAAGAGACTGGGTGTTAATGGTCAGAGTGTCTAAGAGGGGTTCCTACTAGCAGTTGCAGGCTCATATCAGCACATGAGATGGAGTTACAACCCTGGATGACCTTCCTCTGCTGGACACTCACCAGGCTCCTGTATTGGACCCAAACCTTAGGTCCCACATACTCTTGGCTTGTTGGGGATGGGCATAGTTTAGGCCCACACTCTAGCTGCAGATCCTGAATCTGATATCCCTCTTGTCAGTGGGGACTATGAACTGCCAAGACCCTGAAACTAGTGCCTGGTTTCCCAAGCCTCACCACTAGCTGTTAAATGCTCCCTGAGTTCCACTCAAACTGTTGACCTTCTATCTTACCATCTCCTTCTTCAGGGATTACATTATAGCAAGTTACAGAGACTCTGCAAAGGAATTTCTAAACACACATACACACTACTCTTAACAATTTGGTGACCATCCTGAGCTGCTTCAAGACCCAAAAGGTAGCTTTTCTTTGAAATTCTGTTCCTGTTGCTTGGACCCTTTCCTTCCCCTGCCGTGCTGTGTGCCTCCATGAACTGCAGCTACATCCTCCTGCCAGCTGTGCTATGAAGGAGCACAGTGAACTCATATTACACAAATGTCCAGGCTTAGGGCAAATTGGGCAATGTGTACTCTATAGGGGCAAAAGGCAGCCAGTTCTGTCTGTGGCAGAAGAGAGCATGCTCCCAGACAGATGGGCCCAGGGCCGGCTCCAGGGTTTTGGCCACCCCAAGCAGCCCAAAAAAAAAAAAAAAAGCCACGATCACGATCTGCTGCAGCAATTTGGCGCAAGGTCCTTCGCTCCGAGAGGGAGTGAGGGACTGTCCGCTGAATTGCCGCCGAATAGCTGGACCTGCTGCCCCTCTCCGGAGTGGCCGCCCCAAGCACCTGCTTGCCAAGCTGGTACCTGCTTGCCAAGCTGGTGCCTGGAGCAGGCTCTGGGTGGGCCTAGCCTATATGCTTTCTCACCCAGTGACAGGTGAAACACAAAATGGAAATTCTTTGGGATTACCTACATCTATAGCTCTTTCATGTATAAAGTAGGGAACAGATGAAGAAACTAACAGAGAAGAGACTCTGGAGAAAGTAGGAGGAAAATAAAGTCTGCATGGTCAAAGGATAATTTTTCATTTAAGTTGAAGATTGGGTTCAAGCCACTGAGAGGTGGCTTTTTAAAAAAAATTATTTACATAGATTCCTGTAGAACTGATCCAGAGTTTTCAGGCAAGAAGCTTTCCATTGAAAAATGGCCTTTTCTCAAACAAAAAATTACTAAATTTTGGTATCATCCAAATTTTGTTTATCTACACAATGTTTTAATACACTTCAAATTGAAATCATTAACAAATTTTTTTGTTTACTGAAAACCTAGTTCTCCATGGGGAAAAAAAAACTATTAGGTAAATGACAACCTTCTATAACCATTTTGAAAACCATTTAAATTAAAAAAATCTGAAAAATTATGCAAATATGGAAAAATGGGACCATTTCAAAACCAGCAAACATGAGACAATTCAGAAATTTTATAAAATTATTTTCCTGATTTTCAATAGCTCTATGTACAAGCAGAGAAAAGCAGGCACTGATTTAGACTCAGTGCTTTTGATGGAAATATAAACCAAAAGTCAATCTAGAATCTAATTTTCTAAGATTTTTTCTTATAATGAACACACAAGTCTCCAACAGCTGTGACCTAATAACCAGTTTATTTTAAAAAAATATTGCATATCAAAATAAGCAAAATGTTAGCAACTATTGCAACAAGGGAAAAGTCAGTGTTTGAAACTGCTGTCAGCTGATAGTTGTGTTTTCTGGAGATCAGTACATACAATTTAATAAAATACAAACAAATCTAAGAGAAAGTAAGTTCTCTTATAAATAAGACCAGATTATTTTTCCCCATTTCAAATAGGCCTTCACTTACAACATGCAAGATTCTTTTTCCATGTCATCCTGTTTTAGTACATGTACTGGTTTATCATTGCATGTTGGTGATCTGAGATACTTTGGCTAAGTAACACACTGCTCAAATGTAATCATCTTCTGACACAATATTTTTTTCTAGACCATTGCATCTTCTGTTCACTACGTAATGAAACTGAGAATTCTGAAAAGGAAAATTCAGAAACTACACTTTACTGTATATACCAATATTTTCTCTCATATGACCCCATTGTTCAACCTTAATGGCATCTTACTGCATCTTTTCCTCCTGTGTGCTATGGAAAATATTTACTTATTTCAGAGGACTCAGTTGCAGCAGTTTACCTTCCAAGCCATTAAAATCTTATTTGCTACTCAAATGGCCAGCAATGATAGCAAAATTACAGAGAATAAGGTGGACATGCCTATAGCAAAAAGCAACAAATAGTTTAGCGTATTTTTGCCACAGGAAATTAGACTTTTTAAATACTATTTTCCTGCAGTTTCACCTATTTGTAAAATGGGTGAGGTTGTTTTATTTAAATAGCTAATTTTTACTGCAGACCTATGAGTCCTGGGATGGGGGTGAGAATTTTGCATCATGAGTACCACAAATACAAGATTGTAATCTAACTTGCTATTTCTCCATCATGCTAAAAAAACAACACAATCTGCAACTCTGGCAGCAGGGGTTATCAGGACCCCTGATTTACTGCAGATTATACTGAGATCAAGGGGTTTTTTTTAAACCAGTTTCAGTATCATGGACCTACCAAACATGAAGCCCCCTTCTCCCACACACAATCAGCACCAAACTGGCCATAAGGGCCTAAATTGTACACATACAATTAACAACATGAAATGACCCATACCTCACTTCAAATGTCTGGCCCTATTTGTAAGAATTGTTGACCATCACCTCTCTAGTTATTTCAACATTTTATTCATTTATTTCTCTACCATTTCCACCAATTATACATTTGTAATTGGCATCATAAACTATTGCAAACATGAAAGAAACATTGTACATACTGTAACCTGGGAGGCATCCATGAACTGCAGGCCAAAGTAATCAGTTTCCACAAGGTCCAAATGGTAGACAATCTGGTCAAACAAATCCAGCCCTTTTGCATTTTTCTGTAATTCAAAAGGAAAAACAATAGATTTTTTTAAAAGGGTTTGGTGGGGGAGGGAGAATGTACAAAGACAATTCATTTTAAAAACTGCATGAGAAGTATACTGCTTAGATGTTAAACAATTCAGCTGAAAGTGCTTTTATTTCCTCCAATGAATAAAGTATTTCTTAGGTGTTTATCATGATGGTATCGAACACTGACAAATCACCAAGATGTGCAATAAATTTACTATTTAGTTTAGTGTCAAAACATTTTGCGCCCAGTTCAACTTTAAGAAGTTTTCTACAAGTAGCTACAGAAGCAAAAGGAAAATAATTTCATTGCTAATGCCTTGCAATATGGAGCCAGTATTTTAAACCCCAGGAAACCAAATTCTCTATTAAATGTCTGCTTCAGTAATCGTCTGAAGTCTGTTGGCAGCTGCCTGATGTCAACTGCAATTATGAACTGCCATTGCACCATTCAGGCAGCAAAATAAATTTAAGACAACTTGACTAGTTAAGAGTACTACAAGGAAAGATAATGGCATTTGATAGGGTCTTTAAATAATGCTGCTAATTGTTGAACAGCATTTATGGCCTTTACACAAAACAAAACAAAACCTACAAGTTTTACTAATTTGGCACCCTTATAGGAATGTGTGGGAATGAAAACTAAACTACCCTCAGCCCAGGTTAGGGCTGATTCACAGGCAGGATGTTGGTAACGAAGCTTGCACTGTCACTACTCCTGTGCTGTACCTGTATGCTTGTCCACTTGTTCAAAGGGTAACTCATGAATTTAAGTCATCAGTGCTGCTGTCAAGTTCAAACACTGGAAGAAAACTAAGGTGTGGAGATTGTGGGAATGGGTGGAAGGAAAAGCACAGAAACAAACCAATTTGAAATGCCAACTTTGTTGCTTAGAGTTGAGAATATATTTTTTCAAATATTTGGAAAGAATTTCTTTAGAAGAAAATAATCCAGCACAACATGCAACTGAACTGGAGCCTTGTTTTTTTTAGGTAAGGAGCAGCATCATGTCACAATGAGATGTAGACCAATTCCCTAGACACGGTGCACCTGATTTTCAGATTTAAAGTCCTAATGCCCACAACTGCACACTTACGTTGCATTCATATTACTGCATGTGATTTGTATACACGGATGGATAGAAGTAACCTACTTAGTCATGCATGCAAGGAGGTTACCATTTTGAGTGCACATTCAATAGTAAGCCCATTATTATGGTTACACACATTTATAAAGGCACTTATTACAATATTATCTTGGTCCACTTGACTTAATTTAGATTAAAACCACCCAAAATGTTGTGAAACAGATACATATACAACTTTATTATAAAGACTTGAGGTAAATTCTACCATGAGGCAATAAATTTAAACTATTAAATTAATTTTATCATCATTTTATTGGTTTACTAAGTAATATGCCTAAACTTCTCTCTTTCTCTGCGATATTGCTAAAGTTGAAGTTGGTCAGGAAAGGGGCTCAAACAAGAGCTCTCTTTTTTTTTTTTTTAAAGAAAAAAAGCTGCTAACCAGGCATTTTCCACAAGGGGTCCTCAGCTATGGAATTTACTCTCCTGCTTTGTGGTCCATTCAAGCCATTTTTTAACCTTCCAAATACAATATACTGAAAAGTCCACCTTTTTCCATATATGTCAGGGAAGGAACAAGTCAGTAGTATGGATCTATGGCAGTTTCATTGTTAGATTACTGTTCAATGACTGTGTTACTGAAGGGAGCAGCTGTACTATTTGCATGGGCAGTTTGTAAAATGTGCAATAGTATCAAATATTGTTCTAATGAATGTAAAGTATACAGAGCCTAGGTTGACTGTTAAATACGACACACAGAACTGCAAAAGTTGGGCGCTGCATATAAACAGAGTTACATAATGAATACATTTGTTTCTGTTCTCTCTTGAACAGAGGTGTAACAACACTTCAGGCTCTGAGTCTCTTACAAGTGATCCTCAGTGGGGAAGGAGGAATGGCACTTTCGACAGATCCCATTCAGCACAAGATATATGCCAGGATATGGGCAACTGCTTTATCTTTAGCTTCTTATGGCCATTATATAAGGACATCTTAAGAGTAGGAGCATGTCTACTACTGCCTCTTAATTTTTTTTATTTTTTTTAAATCTATGTTAAGAGGTCAGAAACCTGATCTCTAAAACATGTTAGGCATTTTCATTTAGCTCCCTTTCCCAGAAAAACACTCTGATTTCAATTGGACTAGAATTTGACCTTTAAGTTTTCAATTAATCTGATCTTCCATGTATGAGAGCATTGTAACCACATCATAAAAAAAAATTCTTATAAAAAAGAAAAGATTCCAAGCTGTTATCTTACAATACTTAGAAATTCTCTTCTCTAACCATAAAGAAAGGAATGAAATAATTTCCACCTCCACTAGCTTTCTTGAAGAGGTCAAACAGCTCTGGTGTAGGTGGCAAGTTCTATGTAAGCCTCAAATAACATAACTGACAAATTGAAAACACTGCAATTTGAATTTTTCTATGTTTTCAGAAACATCCATCTGATCTCCATTAAAATAAGATGTACAGCTACTTAACAGAAGCGAGAAAGTGACATCTTAGGATATTGTTTTACTTGTTTCAGGGGAGGCACAAGATGATTTATAGAAAGACATGCTTTATTAATCACAAAATTCAACAACCTTATTGCAAACATCTGAGATGATCACCTCCTAAGATATAATGTTGCTTAGAAACAGTACGCATCCACGTCACTGTTTTGAAGGTGCAGTATTTAATAACATTCTAGACTAGAGTCAAATAAGCAAGGAATGTATTCTAAAGATGGATTTGTTGTTGTTTTAAATGTTTAGTGAAACTAATGCTTGTGAAAGATGCCAAATCAAAAGCACACTAGAATGAAGTATTCTCTCCACCTGAGCAGAGACAGCAGATACAACACAGGTAATAGGAATCCAACAGTTTAAGTCAGTTTTCCATGACCATTCAATTCTTGAGAGCTTGCTTATGCATAGACTGTCAGTAAGCATGCCAATTATGAAGCAGACACCTGTCAAACAGACACTAGCCTGTTCCGTCACTACCAGCCTGGGCCAGGAGCACACACTGTTCCACTGCACACATGTTCACCACAAATATGAAGTGAGTCACATGGAAGAAGTAGCATTGTCATTTACTCAATTGTTGTAAAATGCAATATTACATATGTAACTTGTAGTAGACAACAGCCTTTAAATGTTAATAAATGTTATTTCCTAATTATTTGAACCTTCAGATAAAAAATTTGTGCTGGCGCTCTGGGTAGCATGGGGGGGGGGGAAAGACTTTCTTCCAGGCATTTCAGCAATGGGAAGATGGGAGAGTGCAGCTCCCCACCCTCTAACAGTAGAGACAGTACTGTCCTTTCTCCTATCCCTTCGCTGCCTGATGGAGAATATGAAGAGGGAACAGCAGAAGGAGCTGGGGCGTAGAGTGGGTAGAAAATTTTCCATACATGTTTTTTTGTAGGAAAATGGTCTTTAACAATACATTCTTTTTTTAAATTGTCCACATTATCAAAATTTTCTGTGATGTTTGTTATGGAAATTATTAAAATAGTTTTAAAATCCTTTATTTACCCCAAACCGCATTTTCTTACTGTAAACTGGGATTTCAGTCAATGAAAAATTTTCAAAAAAATATTCAATTTAAAATACTGCTGAAAATTTAATGGAAAATGGGCCCATTAAAGAAAAACTATTTTGAAATTTTCATGAAATCATTTCCCAACCAGTTTTACTGGGGTGTTGCTGGGGATCCAAATCTTTCTTAAAGTACATAGAACAACATCCTCCTCCCGTTTTCCAAATGTGAGAAGAGCTGTCCAAGTTATGAGTCCCCTATCTGTCTCTTCTCCCCTTCAAGAGGATCCATCCCTCAGCGAGCTTCTCCACCTGTCTGAGTGGGTGGGGGTAGGGGGAAAGAGGGAAACAAACCTGCTATCAGCTCCCAAAGCTAGAACATTGGTTTTACTTGTACCGTCTCCTGGCACTCCATGGTAATGAGGGAAAAAGAAAGCAGATGAGGTAGGGTAATAAAAAAAAAAAAAGACATGAGTGCTGATAAGGGCTGGTCTACACTAGCGCTCCAAAAGTGAATTTTGTAGTGTTTTGGACATGTCAAATTAACTGTGTAATAATATTATCAACATAGCAGAATGGTTAGGGAGGAAAAACTGGCAGAATATCCTACGAAAGAATACAATTTCTGAGACCTGTTGATAGAATCTTTTTTTATTTCCATCTCCCATCTCACTTTCAAGGATGAATAGGTTGACATGGGTGATGTCTTTAGCATAAATTGTTCTGCTTGTAAGATGTTGATGCTTTTTCAAATATTTGACAGACAGTAGCATGTATCTCTCTCAGTGTTCTTGCACCAAAGTACATTTGTTTTGTAGGTTTTTGAATGGGAGCATCTTATAAATATCTCCCAGCACTTTGATTCCTACATCTATCCATGCTCTTTTCAAAATGTCTATCTGCCTTAAAAATAACCTACTAGGGGAGGAGGGTACTTGTGCTCGTTCCTGATGTATAAGGAAAGTTGGAAAGATTTCTTTAAAATATTTTTTCTACTAATTTTTACTTCAGAGATAAAATTATTAAGTTGTCTCTTCCCACTTTCTGCTGGAAGATTCCTTGAAGTGCTAGAGAATTGAAATTGGAGCATTCTCAGGCCTCAACTGAGGACAAAGGTGTTTCAAGTAGTTGCCCACTGTTCCATCCATCAACATGAAAGCACATCTGCAATAGGCAGGAGAGTGGAACTGGCATCAAGGATAATTTTACGTTCCAGGGTCATTCTCTTCTACCTTCCCCTCTCTTTGCCCCAAGATCAGCCTGGCAACCTCAGGTACTACAACCACAGATTAAGGAAATATTTAAACAAATAAGTACTTCACACTTATCCTACTTTACTTCGTACTCTGAAAATCTTAGAGAGAGCAATTTTTAATC